CCGCCGTTCTTACCGATCGAGCGATATCGCGGCCCCCAATCGATCGAACTTCGCCGGGAAACATGTTCGAAAACGCGCGGTCTGCGCGCTCCTACGTCGACTCGATCCTCGTTCGCGCCAGCAACGCGATGTTTTGATCTATTCTCGATCCTCCTTTCGGAGGATATCGCGATAATTCACGAGACTCGTCGATAGCAAATAGATTGAGAAATCAAATTGCAATCGTTGGAGGATCGTCGCTGGAAATTTGTACTCTGACAAAAGTCTGGATAAAATTGCAAAGATCGAAAGACACTCGTTGTGCGTGTATGTGTGATTGTTGTTATTACGCGGTAAGGAGAAGTCGAGAAGTGTGTTTCAGGGAGGTTGTTTGGTGCTTAGGAGCGTGATTGATACTGCGACGAAGTGAGTAGAGACATCAGTCGTGCTTGCAGAGTGGAATAGGATTTCTAAGGGATTCTTATTCGTAAGAGAAGGGAACTATTGGTTGCGAAGACTCGGTGATCGTTCGAAAATTCCGCACAACTTTCCTACGCGTGTAAGATTGTCGAATAAAACAATTTGCGGAATAAATAAGAGGAAGAAACGGTACAAGAATCTTAGAAAGTTTCTTACTTTCAACAAAGCTAACAAAGTACCTTTAAAAGAGTCTTTCTATATTATCTGCAAACATTAAAAAATCTTCACGGTCAACCGTTACTTTATCAGAGAAGAACAGATACAGTCGAAGAACCAATAGGAAGCAAATCCAATTACGATACCTTTGTACAATTAAGAAACAATTGCGCTTAATGCAACGAGACAAATGTTCCATCGATCATAACACGTCTTTGCCTCCAATCAGGGAGTACCAAGCACTTTCTAGGAAGACCCAGTAGTCGATTCAACGCCACAGAGTCCAACTTGGACATCTAGAAGTTGGATGGCCAAGTTTGGACGCCTCGACGAATCCGTTTCCAGTTGAAGCAGCCTCGAAAGCGTAATTCCAGCGACTATCGACTAATCTATCGTTTCACGACGACAGTATCGTCACGAATCTCGTGCACAAAGACCTAACCGCGAGAAAATCGATCGGAAATTCAAATAGCTGATCAATGTTCGACGAGATCTGGCTCTAAATAAATTGCAAACTTTCGATCGGGTATCTGTTCGTTAAGACTCGTGCAACGAAGGTAGTCGTCGAAAGGACTGATCAACAGGTTGCTGATCTAGATAGAGCTACACCACGGGATTGTTGGTTAACTTGCTCTCAAGAGGAAGTCCAAGGAACTCGAGATCGAGAGTTCTGTCTTCTGGCACGAGAGTTCCTCGTCTCTTGCTGTCCGATCGAGAGGAAAACGAGGCCTGGTACCACAGAGGGATTAGATTGGCAAGTTGCCGGGTGATAATCCGAGTATTGCGGGTTCTAAGGATGGAAATTTGGCGGAGACGAAGTTTCGACGAACACGTGCAGTGAAAGGTTAAATTGTTCGTCGTGAAGTTTCACAGTTCACCGTAGGAAGGAATTTTAGCGTGATCGATCGGTAATTATTTCTTTTGTCGTAGCGAGGACGAATAAAGTGTCTTAAACTGCAGATTAGGAAATTTTAGCACGAGCGATCGATAACTTTTTCCTTCGCGAGAATCTAAGTGTTTTGTACTCTTGAAAGATTAAAGAAATGTTCTGAATGAAAAACAGCTTCAGATTAGCCGATAACTTTGTTTCCTTTGAAGACGAGCAAAGTGTCTTGGTCTTGGGATTAGGAAATCGAGATCGGGAAATGTTCTAAATGAAAAGTAAATTAATCGATAATAGTTCGATGATTCATAAAGTGATTTTTCTTCGTTTTTGTTTTTTTATCGAAGAGATACGGCGATCATTAGAGTAGAAAAGAAAGAATTAGGTTAGCGAGGGAATTGAGATAACCAGGCGAGAAAACCGGTTTGAAAAGTGTCGTATCGAGGATCGTAGTGTAAAATCGTGGAATAAATCACCGGCTTAGTTTGTTCAAAGCCTATTCAGACGCAACCTGATAATAAGCCGTATTGACATTTCGAAGATAACGAATAATATATCGTTGACACGATAAAGAGGAGTCGATTTGTAGAAAAATATAGCAACAACGGATTCGATTTAAAGTTCCAGGATTGAATTAAATCTTCACGAACCGATAGAGAATCGCCGTTTCGATGTAATATTTATTGCTTTTTTAAATCAGAAATCCTTATTTCAGTGATCGTGCTTCTATGAAAAGTTTCTTTTCTTCGGATCATTTTATTCAATGGACATTGTACAGCACGAAACGAAGCTTTTCACAATGGAAATAAGATTCCAATCGCAACATTGTTAGTAGAAACATATTTCTTCCATTAATCAAAGATCGAATCAAAAGAGGAGTTCGTTGATCAAAAGTGTAATAAAATCGAGTGAAATATCGTATCGGGAAGTTAAACCGCAATCGCGAAACTTCCACTTCAATCGAGTCTAACGAACTCGAACAACTTCTGGAATTAAGGGCTGCAACATCGTTGAAGATTAAACTCGAAGGCCACGAATTTATTGTTCCCAAGGAATACCACGAGCTTTCTCGTAAAATAAGAAACTCGAGATTATTGAAGATAATAAAGGAAGGAATTTTAAGACTTCGTAAAAGTATACTCCGTTGTAATCAGGATTAAATACAGCTTCGTTATACATACTTTCTACCCGCGTAGAATTATTGCAATCAATTATAAATTTTTCTAATTTCATAACTCACTTTTCCCAGCGAAGTATTCTCGTTAATTTGTATAATATTCCCGTTGTTTGCGCAAACAAATTTTTCGAAATAGAATTTGCAAATTTTCAGAAGTTATTCGTTTAATTATTACTTTTCGAAACAAAAGAGTTTCTCTAATTAAAAGTAATTCGTTAAAATTAAAACTTCATTGAAGGCGAGTGCGTACAGGCCATTGATTTTGATTTCAGCGTAAGACAATTATACTAAATTACGATGTAAGAGTAGCTTGCAAAGATTATATAAATTTTGTTCGTAGTAGAAGAAAGGAAAAAGAAAGTAGAAGGTGAAGAAGGATCAAAGATTTAATAGATCGACGAAAGAAAGACAGAAAAGTGTAAAAGTTCAGAGAACTTCGTTAACGCTACAGCGGAGAAAGCTTCCTAGTACTTTGTAAAAGCTAGGTAAGCAAGTTGAGGAAGTTTACGGAACTTCACGAAAGGTACAGAAGCGTGCTAACGATTCTCAGAGAATTTCACAAAAGCTATAGAGATAAGTTAAGGAAGCTTACTGTAATCTGTAAAAGATTAAGGGAGCAAGCAAGAAAAGTATGCAGTATTTTGCCGTAAAATGTTTCAAAGATTACGGAAGTAAACTGTAGTACTCTACAAAAGCTCCAAAAGTAAATTAAGAAAGTCTTAAAACATACGAAAATCTATAAAAGTGTACTAAAAACTGCTAGAGAATTACGCCTAAGTCGAAGAAGAAGCAAATCGAGGAAGCCTACGCTATTCTGAGAAAACAACAAGAAAATCAAGTTAAAAGGTTGTACAAAATCTACAAAAGTGAACTGTAAGAGTTCACGAACGTCTGCGTGCACAATTATACAAACTTTACGGAACCAACGAACGAAAGCTTACAGCGTTTTACAGAATCTCTCCAGAACCAACCTATAAGAAGTTTGGAAATCGTATAGAAGCTTCGTAAGCAAAAGAGGCGATAGAATACTGCAGAAATTGAGTATCGAATCGCGTTAAAAGATCGATCTGGCATTCTGATCCAACGTAATAATCTTCTTGACCAAGTAAAAGCAAAGTGTTTAACTACGATCGAACGTGAGTGCCCTGTGTGAGTTCCTAGAACTCAGCTATAAGAAGCTTGCAAACCTTAGAGAAGCAAGAAAGCCAATAACAGAACACCACGGAAACTGGCTATCGATCGACGTTAAAAAAGGTCAATCTGCTAACCAAATCCAACGAAATAATCTACTTAATTAATTAGAAACAAAGCGTTTGGCTATAATCGAAAGTGAGTGCCCTGACCCTGCAACCGACTGAGAACTTTCGTCGATTGTCTTGCCGAAGATCTACCGGTCGCGTGATTCATCGAGGCCACCGGTTGAGCAGGTCAGGGACGCGAGTTCTGCGGCTTCAGGCCGGTGCACATCCAACCTGGATTTCTACACGATTTAACGCGCGTCGGGCTTCGGGGACGCTGTGAGCGTGTCGGCGTGCAGACGGCCCGGCATTATCTCTGCAACGCGACGATAAAGTTCCGCACGAGGGACACGATAAAAGCACGCGGGTTCTGCTTGATTAATCGCGCGTCTCTATTCACCGATTTTGTTCTCGTTAGGACAATCCGTGCTGGACCGAGCGCGACGAAATATAGCGAGGACGTTGCTCGGGGTTGGAAAGTGAGAATAATAAATACAGGAGGTGAATCTTCCGATGGCAGGTGAATTGTGAAGTGAAACGTGGAATTGGAGGAAGTGGGAAGCAGTTGGGATTGGAGAAACTGCAAAGTGGTGAGTAATCTGCGGATCCCTGAGATCTTTGGTGATTTTGCGGAGCTACGGAGAATTTATTAGGGCTGTTGCTTCGATCATTAATCGTTCTGCTCTTCTTACTTCTCTTTTGGAACGTTTTATTCGTAAAATGTATGGAACGTACAGAGACAATAGTGAAATAATATTGGATATCAAATTAAATATTTAGTAATTATTTATTTTAATAGTATCTATAAAAATATAATACTCTGTGTCATAAGAATCCGAGGAAAACAACAGGATTAAGTAGAGTTCTGGGACTTATATCTTTTAAATACATGTTTAACAAAACGTAGATTATTATATCGTTAAGTTGGGCAGGACTTTAGGTCGAGTTATTTAACGTTAAAGTATGATAAGCAGAGTAGATTTGAGAATATGACAAAATTTCATACTTTGCATATTCAAGTACTTTCAAGCTATTTCATTTGTACAGTCAAATTATTAGAGCCGAGGCTTTTCGCAAGCACTGCAGCTGCTTTTGTCAGGAAATACAATTTCGAGATATTGTTACTCGATTATGACTACGAGATTCTATTATTACGCGATAATTTGTAAAACTGATATAGCAGTTTTGTTTCGATGAAATTCAATTTCTGCACTGATATTTCATCCGTCTTTCTTGTTTTTAATGGAGAATCCATGAAATTCTCAATTTTTATTACGAAGATCAACGATGTTTCGAACTTGTGCAAAAGTCAAGGCGGACAGAAATACAAATATTATCATATCACGTATAGTAATAGATTTTTTTTTTTTATTAAGATTTATTAATTTAAAGAATTAGATTAAAAAGTGAAAGGTCGTAGCTATAAGAATTTATACGAATTCGTCTTTACGATCGTGAAATGGATACTACGACGATTAATGGATACAGAAAAATCGTCTTAAGAATTACGTCTCCCCTTTCGCGCTCTCGTCGATATTTAACGAATGATCGGTGATTAAAAGAGGTTAATAAGCACGCTCCAAGTCGATCGAGATATACGACAAGGATTCAGAGAATCGTAGCGAATCGTTGGAAGAGCGGCGCCATTCTGGCGAACGAAAACGAAGAAAGGAACGTAATCAGCGTCGTAGGAAGTGCAAGATTATCGATACCCCTCGTGAAAATAAGAAACCTCCTGTCGTTGATCGACTGTACCAGCGTGCCGTGGTTTGTTCGAAGATTAACTCGGCAATTAAGCCAACGTGCCCACTTGTTTCTCTGTTTTTCGTAGTTCGATCGCGTCTTCGATTAACAATCAGGGGAGTGGCGCGAGAACGCGTCCATTTTTATGGACGAGTATGACCTCGATTGCGAGCATCGTGGTCTGGATCGGTTTCAAGTGGAGAGGTATTGTGAATGGTGTTGTTTGTGGTTTCGCCGGCTGAAGAATCGGATGTACACGGTCGTTCAAAAGTTCTTCCATAGCTACTCGTTTCTTACAAGATATGATTTAATCGCGAAATTGACCGATTAAGGATCGATGTCTTCGTGGGATTTTCTATTTCTATTTATATTTCCACGAGTTCTGTTCGTTAACGTTGTTAATATATACGTTGTAAAAATTGTTTCGATTGTTTCAAAATCGTGAAGCTACGTATACGTATCTGAATTTTTGGACGAACAATATGACATGAAGAAGATGATTTTTGATTAGGAAGATTTTACACGACAAACTACTAATGTTGTAATCTTTTAAACGAACGTAGATCAACTTTACTATCGAACCTACAAAGGAATTCTAAATATTTGTTTCGTATTACATTCGTCAATACCTGTTCGTCCGAATCCAGTTTCAACTTCGATTCAATTTCAGATTAGAAAATTCCAGCCATACAAGTCTTCAACTTTGCGAGTCATAGTTTTAAGACTTTCATCGAGAATCGCGATTCACCTTCGTTCCCATATTTGCCTTCTTTACACTTTCGTGTCGTTTAAAACAACTTTTAACCCTTTCACCGTCGATTAAAATAACGATATCGCAAAACTTAACAAATATTATCTCCTATATATATGTAAACTCTCTAAGAGTTCAAATGCGGATAAACAAGGGGACTTTCTCTGTTTTACAACATCGGAGATAGACAAAATCACAGAAGAAAGAGTAATTGTTTAAAACATTGAAGATTGACGGAGAAAGATCGGTAGCTCAGGACGTTGAAAATCGATTCTCGATTTTCAGGTAGACATTGCACAGAACTTGCTATTTATTGTTTACTCTTATTAATTGCCTGTTGTTTATTTAATTATTACTCTTATTAATTGTTGTTTACTTCTGTATTTCATTTACAATAAACTCGATTTTCAGAATTATCCTAGAATTGAACCTTATATATATCGCGCATTTACATTTAAGACGTAGATCTCATAGTGGATTGTACAGTAGATTTTAAAAGAAGGATACCCAATTGTTCGTCGTAATAATTATAAGTCTTGATAGTTTGTATTTCTCGGACGTACGACAGGTTCTACGGTGAAAGCGTTCAAGTATTTAAACGAGTGTTTCTCTGTGGTGAACGACAGCAGACAGTAAGGCACCGAGCATATATAGTATACCATAACACGACTCGCCAATAAGGTTTTACACGGCGCGATATAACTGATGGATGAGCGTTGATTGCTCAGCCAGAGTTTATTAACTTCTCCCCGCAACTTCGTTAAAACGGTATCCGCGCAATTAAGCTTCTTGGTCGAAGGCGAGAAAATGGTGCTCGCGAGCCTTTCCACGCCAGACTTTCCCCTCTTTTTCCGGCTATTTCTTTTTCCCCTCGTTGTCGAAGAAGAAGAAGAAGAAGAAGAAGAAGAAGAAGAAGAAGAAGAAGAGGAAGAAGAAGAAGAAGAAGAAGACGTCCAGAGGGACTTGGTTCCGCTCGTTCTCGCGAAACGATCGCGGTGATTTGTGGTGGCGTTTGCCCAAGATACATCTCGCTGCCTTGCGCGTCACTTTGCTTTTTCTAGCCGCCTCTGCGCGGACAAGGAAGAAGCGGAACGTCCAGGAACGCGAGTCGAGTCGTCCACCGAGCTGGCTAAAACGCACGCGATAGTTTTTTTCGAGATGCTCCACCAAGATGCGATCATACGTCTTCTCCTTGATCTCTCGGATACGCTATAGCGAATATGAGCTGTTCTTGATAGGTGCGTTGTACCTTTTTACGCAGAGGTCTGTGCTTTTATGCAATGGTACGTAGATAGGCATACTTTCGGGAAATTGAACAGCGAAGTTTCGAAGTTCACTTTGGAGAGCACGAGACAAAAAGATATTCCTTTTTTCCTTTTCTATTGCTATTTCGTGAAATACGTGTAAGATTGTAGATCGAATGTGAGAGGTTTGACGGTTTTTACGATGGTTTAATTTTGTAAGATTTTGTTGAAAATTATCGTGTAATGGGTAATGATAGAAAGGGATTGGAATTTCTGCGTTGCGTTTAATATCTTTTGTTTATACAGTTCATTCATTTGGGTAGATTTGACAAAGTTAATTCGAGGATCTCGGGACTTGTCGAATTAAACGTTCGAAAAATTGGAAGCTCGAATTAGAAAAGATTTTAAGATTTACTTGAGATTTTGTGAGTGGCAGAAACTTGACTTGTATCCAACGTAGTGTAATCGAACGCGTTTCAAACGTTTCTCAACTTTTCTCGAGGATGATGCTGTGCGTGGCTGAAGCATTTCACCCTCGGATTACGAAACTCGTCGAATCATCGTCGCTTAGACAGGAAAACGTTTCGATCGTTAACGTTTCAACCGGGCTGCCGCCGGCGTAATGCCACGGTCATAAAACGCGAACTTTCGCGTTCAGTTGTTCCTTTCGCACGCATCTGCCGTAGAGAGACGCGCAACGCGGAAACGTTTTGCTCTTCGTTGAAAAGTTTCAGCTCGCGTTCACCTCGACTCGATCGGAGAAATCTCCAACTACGCATCGAATACGAGCCTCGTCATTTATTTGTTAACCGCTTGTGGTCGAATCTCTTCCCCTTACGAGAAGAAAAGTTACGTTCAGCAGCTTACGATGTTTGTTACGAGCTAATCGTACTCACACGTGTACCGAGCAACTACCGTAAACTTTAGTATACATTGATAAAACATACGATCGTTCGTCCGATCGTTTCGTAAAATCTGTTCTTCGAGTCTAAAGCTTAGACAAGGTATCGTAATTCATATTATTAAACAAGTGCGCGATAAGAGTGGGCAATAAAAATGGATAATAGAAGAGAGTTAAAAAAGCGACGAGCGTAAGATTTACATTATTGTAAAATCGATACAAGAATCGATTCTGAAAACATTTTGCGATTAATATAGAACCAAAAAAATAATGGTTCTAAAGTTTCTACATGAAGTTTCAAGAACTAAAACTATCGGTAACTATACTGTTTTTAGATCTATAATAAATATCGTTTAAATATCGTAAATGATTTTTACTCTTATTTGAATGTTATTATTGGAAAATCATATTTTACAAAAAAGATTACGTAGGTAAAAAGGTCATATTCTTTAGGACAAATTTATGGGGAAATTTGGAGAAGTTGGTCCATCGATATATTTCTTCGTCACTGTATCTGCCAGATCTCCACGATGCTATTACAAAGCATCGTTCATCTTAAACGCCACTATCATATCAAACGAATATCAATCTAATATTACGAATAATGTACATAACGGTACCTCGTGACGTTACCGTTTCGCTCTAGCCGATGCTTGCCGCTTTTCTCCCCATTTACGTCCGTTCGTTGAATACTCAGTCAACGATCTCACCGTCAATTAACACGAATCCACCGCAGAAATGATCGAAACGAGCCTCGAGACGAAATCACGTTTCACATTGCACGCTTGTTTATTCCTGTCGACGCTTCACTTCGCAATTCCTTTCTTCGCGAATAGATTGATTTATCAGTGGCTCGTTATGCAAATAGACTTTCTATCTCTGGTTTGTCTGCTGTCTTTTTCCTACTCCTGTTGCAAATTTTTCTGGACGTCGTTGAACGAACACGCAGTG